AACTGTGCTGTCCACAGCAGTCTTTTCTACTTAAAAAGTGTAGCAAAACTGATAAGTGAGCTTGTTTTATCATATCTGACGTTTGCTTCACTATCTTCAACTATGAAACATCCCTGTAACACTATTCTATGGGCTACGCTTGCTTCGATATCTTCAAATGTGAAATATTCCCTTCAACACCATCCTATGTGTTTACGACTGCCTCTTGAAACAGAAAGAATGGAGTGCCTCAGACAGTTGCAACAGCCACCTCTCATCACTCACGCGCGCATAAAGTGGGCGGGGAAGGAGCGAACGGTCAACGACCGATTTACGTCAAGGTTGTAAGCTATTCACCCCATATTGCACGAAAAGCAGGATCACATATCAAGTTTGTTTCCCATAACTGCATACGCCACTGCTAGTCAGGATAGCACACCCGTTTCCCGTCCGGCATCCCGGCTTTCATTGGTAGGATGGGTGAGAAGGTAAGATGAATGATACTGAATGCATCGCAAACTAAGGCAAACACAGATCGTCCATAGCATGTGACAGGCCTTCACATGCGTCTTTAAAGAGTCAGCTGTGTCCCACACCGAAGCAAGGCAGCAAGCACTTTAAAGACTTAAGTTTCAGCCTGACAGCGTAATTTGCGGATGCTGTATGAAAACCCGGCAATATGTCAAACACGAACCTTTGTTCTAAATACCGGGCCACGTTATCCGCCTACAACAAACGTAGGTAAGCAACTTGTCTAAGAAAAGCGTACACCTTCGCTCCGCATACAACACCGAATCGGGTGGGCTATACTGGAGGATATGCAAATCGATGCCCGGTGGACCAATCCCCGCCCAAGGCGGGCAGCGTCCGGAGTGCCTGTTTTGTGCTGTACATGGTGTGGTGTAAGGGAAGATAGTTCGGAAACACATACTGTAACAGGCGTCCCACTTGCATTTTTCACCAAAAAGTGGTATTGATGATCCATAAACATGCAGCAGAGCAGTCATACGGTCAGTTCACATTGATCAATATCCGCATACATTGATTGTTAAGTCACGTGGAAGGCAACTGGTCCAGGACATTGGCTGCCGACGGGACGCGGGAACAGGGCTCAGACAAGGGATGTCCGAAAAGGGCTTCCTTTTATGCGACTTGGTTTCTTGCACGAGAAGCCCCGGTTTTATGGTTTTTGTTACATTGTTTTTGACCGGTAGTATTTGAAGCGTCCGAATTTGTTTCTGCCTAAAATGCTGCGACAAAACATATCTCCTGACAAGCGGTAGGCGAAATCCAGACGGACAAAACAAAAATTACCAAATGTGTCGGTGAGTAAATAGGTAAGATTGTGCAGCAATAGAAAATAGTTGCAAGAGTATTGAGAACGTACAGTCCTCCATCCCTACCCCCGCCCCCCTTCCCTGGTCGCTGGGCTTGCCTCCCAGGTAACGTTCCTTAAATATGCTAAGGACCTGCCCCCCCCCCCCCGCTTTTTGAAACGTTCCTGCGCCTATGGATGTCTTCTACATCAAATGGATCTCTGTCAGTTGGGAACCGGGCCAGTGAAAGTAGCAGATGCAGATAACGGTTTACGTGAACGGGTATCCACTGTCCTTTCTCTCTCGTAGGGTCTCTCTCTCTCTCTCTCTCTCTCTCTCTCTCTCTCTCTCTCTCTCTCTCTCTCTCTCTCTCTCTCTTCTCTCTCTCTCTCTCTCTCTCTCTCTCTCTCTCTCTCCCTCTTTCTCTGTCTCTGTCTCTGCCTCTGTCTCTCTCTCCCCCTCTGTCTCTCTCTCTTTCCTCTCTCTCTTTAGCTCTCCCTCTGTCTCTATTGATCTGTCTCTGCTTAACCCACTTTCTCCCTCGGAGTATCTCTTTAACTATTTTTTACTCTCCCTCTCTGCATCGTTCTGTCTTTTTCTGAACTTGACCAAAACGTCCGCATCTGACCAAAGCAGCCGCCTTTATGCACTGATGATCATAAGGCATCTCTTGAAAATGGGCGTGGCGGATGACAGCGAACAATTTGTGGTCAAATTGCTGTCTATGTAGTGTATGCTACAATGGCGCCTTTTCAGCTTTTCCGCCAGATGTCATTGGTTGATGGTCATTATAACGGCAGCTGGTCCCTTTCTCAATGCATGCTACATTTCGGACTTCTGAGAACTGTTGTCACGCACATCGATTTCATCCCAAACCGGGAGTTACGTAAGAATGTTGTGGGCGTCACATCACGACCGGCGACACATGTGACCAACGCTGCTGGTCGTGTCGAGTGCACGGACACGGCGTGAGAAACACTACTTTGGAGCACTCCTTACTCCCCCTGCAAACATGAATGATGGTATTGGTCATTTATGAATACGAAAGACATGGTCAGAGACATGACCATCTCAGAGCAGGAGCTCCAATCCAAAGTACCCAAGTCAGCAGCTGAGTGAAAAGGCGGTGGTTTTTATTAATCCGACATGTGCAGTGCACTAATTATTCCTCTACTGAACAAATTATCAAACATCCTCTTCACAATCTACTCCAACTGACCAACGCCATCGCCTGAGCCGTGCGGCCTCAGCGCCGCCGAGCTGACCACGCGCCGCCGCTTTCGCCACGACCGGACGGCCAGGCCGTTTGCGGCGCAGCGCCGGCGGCTGTGGGCCGGCCGGCCGGCGCAGTGGCGGCGGCGGCGGCGGCGGCGGTGGCGGCGGCGGCCCGACCTGGCGCAGCGGTGCGCTGGAATGCGCCACCGCGACCGTCGGGTCAGCACCTGAGCGGGCCGGTGCCGGCCGCGGCCGTGTCAGGCACCCACCGGTCCGCCCGGCTCGCCTGGGCGGCATACGGGCGGCCGCTGCGCGCCGAAAAACGCACATAAACACCGCATACAAGGGCTGCGGGAGACAGAGGAGAGTGAGAGTGGGAAGGGGCAAAAAGCGGGGTGACGAGAGAGAATGGGAGAGGGAAAGGCCGCGACGTGTGCAGATAGACAAACTGGACCTAAATGTATGGTTATGAAATCCGAAGAGCGATGTAGCTGTCGGACATTTTTCCGTCGGACCAACCATTTGCTATTTGAAATAATGTTATCCAGGCTGCAGGTCGCAACCAGTATCGACCAGCTGCTATCTGCAATGCGTCCCCATGCTCTTTACATGAGGGGAATAAACCTTAATCTTGTGACGGACGGCTGGGATGTACACACACCACGGACGTGGGGGAGGCGAATTATCTCCGAACCTTCCACGACAACCTTCACGAGTTATGGCCTGTCTGCCTCGAGTCTGAAGTCGGCCACCAGTGTCTTGCGCAAAGACCTCTGCAGAATAGGCTGCCGATGTTCCCATTGATGCATTGTCGTCCAAGGCACAAGAAAATGAAGATAGAGCGCGCGGGGTCTCAGTTAAGCCCAGTAGCGCCAGCGCCGCGAAGTAATGATGAAGCCCTGCATTATAGCTGGGCAAGGAAGGCCCACGGGGAAAGACTGTGGCTGCATTACAAGACGAAAGCTAGCATTGAGAAAAGATGGACGCCAGCGCATCGCAGGCACCATTTTAAAATCAGTGAGGTGGTGATGCTAAGTTTAAGTGCCCACCAACCTTTGGTGACCTGTGTATATTATAAGGACTTTGTCAACGGATGATGGCTCACTTAATGAATATAGCGCAGCATGTCTGATTATGTGTAAAGAAAAACACCTACCAATGTTTGACATGAACCCAGTAAATATGCTAATTCGCTACCCAAACGTACCGGCACTCCACACGAGTGGTATGGTCGCATTAGCCATGACACTGACCTAGGCTCATGCGTCGCACAGTGTGCAACCTGAAACCGTGTTCCGACTGCAGCGCGACATCGATTCCAGATATCTAGAGCCACCCTTGTCCTCCCGGCACCCGCCTTAATGAAAGCCGTAGTGCGCCTGCCTTAGCCACAGTGCACCTGCCTCAGCCATAGTGCACCTGCCTTAGCCATAGTGCACCTGCCTCAGCCATAGTGCACCTGCCTCAGCCATAGCGCACCTGCCTTAGCCATAGCGCACCTACCTTAGCCATAGTGCACCTGCCTTAGCCATAGTGCGCCTGCCTTAGCCATAGTGCGTCTGCCTTAGCCATAGTGCACCTGCCTCAGCCATAGCGCACCTGCCTCAGCCATAGTGCACCTGCCTCAGCCATAGTGCACCTGCCTTAGCCATAGTGCACCTGCCTCAGCCATAGTGCACCTACCTCAGCCATAGCGCACCTGCCTTCGATGCGCACCCGGCAGGCGGCCACCAGACCACCCGCGCGGGCGGGCCGACGCAGCCGCCTGCGTGAGCGAGCACTGACCTCTCGCTGGCAAGTTTGCAGACGCGCCACCTGAAGCGGTCGGAGCCGGCTGCAGCCCGGCCCGTCCCGGCCCGCGCTGTCCTAAGTCCCGTCCCCGCGACCCGGCCGGGCCCGGTTCCCGCCTGTCGCGTGGGCGTCACGTGGGCCTGAGGCCGTTGCCTGGTGGGATTACTGATTTGGCAATCCAGGGAAAAAACGGCCGGGAAAACCGGTAACTCCGCAATTTTTCAGAAGTTTTACCGGAGCCATATCTCTTATCATATAACCTCAGAGATTGTAGTATATATATATATATATATATATATATATATATATATATATATATTTCTCTCTTCCTCCCTCCCCCCCCCCTCTCTCTCTCTCTCTCTCTCTCTCTCTCTCTCTCTCTCTCTCTCTGTTGTTGCATATGAGTTTCATAATTGTGTGCTCTACGTACTACGATCGGACCGCTACCCGTTGCCCTGCACACATGGCGTGATCATGGCAGGCCGCAACGGTGACGTCTCATGACCGTGCCATGCGCATTCCCGGCGTTTGTGGGCACCAGTCAGACAGGCTTCACGATTTAAATCAGGTGCAGCGATCGGGCCGTGACGGGCCGCGACCGTGATGAACCGTGACTACGGTATGCACGGACTGTGGTGTGCTACGACCGTGATAAGCCGTGGCCTGCGTTAACCGCGACTCCCTGCGTTTCTCGTACAGCTCGCCGCCCGACTGGAGTACGCCCGATTCGACAAGCAGCGCTGGACGGAGGTGAAGAAATACGACTGGTCCAAAATCAAAGACGAGAGCATTCGTCGCCAATTCAAGATCCTTTCTATGCTGGGCACAGCTGCTTTACCTGAAGAAAAGCTAAAAAAGGTGAGGACATGGCGGATGTCATCTCTACTGCAATCACGAACGACACAGTTGGCTTGTAAAATCTGTCAGACTTATGAGAAGTCAGATAGGGCTGGTGTCTGGCAGCAGTGTGCTCGAATAAGCATGCACAAACACTTGATCAAATATACAGTTGGTTACAGACAGATGCGTCTTCGTGTAACAATGTTCTCTCAAACATTTGGCGAAACCTCTCTTGCACAACTATGCTAACATGTTAATCTGTCCAGCTTCGGTGCAAAACGAACTTTTAACCGGCTCGTTTTTATTGAATAATAGGTTTCGGGATAATTATACCCTTTCTGATCCTGGCTCATTGTATGATCAAGGCTGAGGGACGGATGGAGATTATCTTGAAAGCCACCGTTCAACAAAACCAGGCTGGTTTGAATATATATATATTTGAATATTAATCATGGCCCAGATCAATGATATTCCCAACATACCAGCTTCGATGGCTATTTCAACTTGAATGCCATGCATTATTTGTGCTACCTACTAAGGGCGGTTGTGCAGGTGAATTGACTGATATTCGTGCGGTTGTCCCTCACGATATTTTTTATTCACACCTAACGCAACGCTTCGCCAGTTGCTTCTCTAGCTGTACTCAGGTGTCACTAGGTCCGGAGGCCGTCTGTTCCATAAGGTGCTTTTCAGGACCACCTTGTGTGACCTAAGCTGTGTTAATAGTTACACTATTGACGATAGTCGGTAGTCTGAATCACTAATAGTTACGCTATTGACGAGGTCGGTAGTCTGAATCACCAATAGTTACACTATTGACGAGGTCGGTAGTCTGAATCACTAATAGTTACACTATTGACGAGGTCGGTAGTCTGTATCACTAATAGTTACGCTATTGACGACGTCGGTAGTCCGTATGACTAATCGGCTCGCGCTCCCACCTCGATCAGGTATTTTTCAACTTCATCTAGGTGTGTGGGTATTCATAAATGTATTGTGTTCACTTCTGGTGCATGCACATGTGTGCATTAAAGTGATTTCGCACGCGTTCGCGTGTGCAGTATCATTCAATTGTGCACACGTGAATGGATCAGTCGCGGCAACCAGATGTTCAGTGGGTGATCTTTTTCAGTATGACCAGATGCAGAGCTCTATGGAAAAGACGTACAGCGTGGCAAGAATATGCGACCAGAAGAGAGAAAACTGCGATTTGAGCCTGGAGCCAGGTGAGGGAACAGGAGCTTTGTGATCATATTACAAGTGGTTTCATATGCACCTACGTTTTCCCTATTTTTCGTGTCTCCTTCCATGCCCAACATTTTGTATTCATTTACCTGCTTCGGTGTCTTGGCTTCGCGCCCCTCTTATCCGGCGTGGCCTTTCAGTACACTCTCACCGGAAACGTGTCGTAGGCCCTCGCTATCCCCCCCCCCCCCCCCCATCGCAGGACTGTTCTGTAAGCTCCTCTCACGAGACGGCCGTCCTGTGGGCTCCTCTCATTAGACGGCCGTCCTGTGGGCTCCTCTCATTAGACGGCCGTCCTGTGGGCCCCTCTCATTAGACGGCCGTCCTGTGGGCTCCCTCTCATAGACGGCCGTCCTGTGGGCTCCCTCTCATTAGACGGCCGTCCTGTGGGCTCCTCTCATTAGACGGCCGTCCTGTGGGCTCCTCTCATTAGACGGCCGTCCTGTGGGCTCCTCTCATTAGACGGCCGTCCTGTGGGCCCCTCTCATTAGACGGCCGTCCTGTGGGCTCCTCTCATTGGACGGCCGTCCTGTGGGATCCTAACATTATACTGCCGTCCTGTGGGCTCCTCTCATTAGACGGCCGTCCTGTGGGCTCCTCTCATTAGACGGCCGTCCTGTGGGCTCCTCTCATTAGACGGCCGTCCTGTGGGCTCCTCTCATTAGACGGCCGTCCTGTGGGCTCCTCTCATTAGACGGCCGTCCTGTGGGCTCCTCTCATTAGACGGCCGTCCTGTGGGCTCCTCTCATTGGACGGCCGTCCTGTGGGCTCCTCTCATTAGACGGCCGTCCTGTGGGCTCCTCTCATTAGACGGCCGTCCTGTGGGCTCCTCTCACTAGACGGCCGTCCTGTGGGCTCCTCTCATTGGACGGCCGTCCTGTGGGCTCCTCTCATTAGACGGCCGTCCTGTGGGCTCCTCTCATTGGACGGCCGTCCTGTGGGCTCCTCTCACTAGACGGCCGTCCTGTGGGCTCCTCTCATTAGACGGCCGTCCTGTGGGCTCCTCTCATTAGACGGCCGTCCTGTGGGCTCCTCTCATTAGACGGCCGTCCTGTGGGCTCCTCTCACTAGACGGCCGTCCTGTGGGCTCCTCTCATTAGACGGCCGTCCTGTGGGCCCCTCTCATTAGACGGCCGTCCTGTGGGCTCCTCTCATTAGACGGCCGTCCTGTGGGCTCCTCTCATTAGACGGCCGTCCTGTGGGCTCCTCTCATTAGACGGCCGTCCTGTGGGCTCCTCTCATTGGACGGCCGTCCTGTGGGCTCCTCTCATTAGACGGCCGTCCTGTGGGCTCCTCTCATTAGACGGCCGTCCTGTGGGCTCCTCTCATTAGACGGCCGTCCTGTGGGCTCCTCTCATTAGACGGCCGTCCTGTGGGCTCCTCTCATTGGACGGCCGTCCTGTGGGCTCCTCTCATTAGACGGCCGTCCTGTGGGCTCCTCATTAGACGGCCGTCCTGTGGGCCCCTCTCATTAGACGGCCGTCCTGTGGGCTCCTCTCATTAGACGGCCGTCCTGTGGGCTCCTCTCATTAGACGGCCGTCCTGTGGGCTCCTCTCATTAGACGGCCGTCCTGTGGGCCCCTCTCATTAGACGGCCGTCCTGTGGGCTCCTCTCATTGGACGGCCGTCCTGTGGGCTCCTCTCATTAGACGGCCGTCCTGTGGGCTCCTCTCATTAGACGGCCGTCCTGTGGGCTCCTCTCACTAGACGGCCATCCTGTGGGCTCCTCTCATTAGACGGCCGTCCTGTGGGCTCCTCTCACTAGACGGCCATCCTGTGGACTCCTCTCATTAGACGGCCGTCCTGTGGGCCCCTCTCACTAGACGGCCGTCCTGTGGGCTCCTCTCATTGGACGGCCGTCCTGTGGGCCCCTCTCATTAGACGGCCGTCCTGTGGGCTCCTCTCATTAGACGGCCGTCCTGTGGGCTCCTCTCACTAGACGGCCGTCCTGTGGGCCCCTCTCATTAGACGGCCGTCCTGTGGGCCCCTCTCACTAGACGGCCGTCCTGTGGGCCCCTCTCATTAGACGGCCGTCCTGTGGGCCCCTCTCATTAGACGGCCGTCCTGTGGGCTCCTCTCATTAGACGGCCGTCCTGTGGGCTCCTCTCACTAGACGGCCGTCCTGTGGGCCCCTCTCATTAGACGGCCGTCCTGTGGGCCCCTCTCACTAGACGGCCGTCCTGTGGGATCCTAACATTATACTGCCGTCCTGTGGGATCCTAACATTATACTGCCGTCCTGTGGGATCCTAACATTATACTGCCGTCCTGTGGGATCCTAACATTAGACTGTCGTCCTGTGGGCTCCTCTCACTAAACGGCCGTCCTGTGGGATCCCCTCATTAGACGGCCGTCCTGTGGGCCCCTCTCACTAGACGGCCATCCTGTGGACCCTGTTACTAGACGGTTGTCCTATGGGCTACCCCCAGTGGCCGGCCGTCCTGATGGCTCCCACCAAAGTTCCGTAGCCTCCTCTCATCAGGCGGCCTTTCTTTCGAACAGACCTGTCCGAGATCATGTCCAAGAGCAGAGACCCGGAGGAGCTGGCACACGTCTGGCTCAATTGGCGCGAAAACACGGGACGCAGGATGCGAGAACACTACAAGGCTTTCGTCAAGCTCATCAACGAAGCCGCTGAACTGAACGGTATGGCTTTGATTAAGGACCCAGTATGCCTCCATTCCGAGCAACTGGGCTGCTGGCTCTGTTGCCAGGTGGTGAGTGTCCGGTGAATCGTAAAATTATGGTTCACTGCCGTTTGCGGTTGTTTCCGTATTCACAGCAACGTGTGCCTTCACCCCATACACACAGGATAATGCGGCGGCACTGGCACCTCGGTGGCACAGGCGGATCGGAATGTTGCGGGCCCAGGTGTAGGGCATCGCGCAGCTCTTTGTGAAACCCCCGAGCGTTTGCTTATTTGCCGCGAGGATTCAGTTCAGGCCACCGGAGGGCCCCATCGGCGCTCCCCGTCAAAACGAGCCTTTCTTACCGCTGCGGGTGACCGCCGGTTTTAGTTACCTGAAGACGAGAGATTGCATGTGTTTGCACGTTTGGTGTGCCGTTAGGAAGACAGTGCGAAAAGTGTTACAAGGTAAACAAATGCAAGATATCTTTTCTCAACCTTGCCAGTACGTTTTGCTCATTTTGATCAAGGTAAAAATATTGCAAATGAATTTCTCGGATCGGAGTTCACGCTGAGTAGCGCTCGCTGCGTGAGCTCTGGCTCAGCAGTCCGATCGTGAAATTTAGGGTTAATGGTAGCGATTCGTGGCAAAATAAACACAACGCAATGCTTGACACGATCTCTGCCGTCCTGTGGCATTACCTAAAATTTAGCACGGCTGCTGCCACCGATCATTAGCTATCCCAGTCAAGAGCAAAAATCGCGGCCTAAAACGACTCGAACCCATCCCTCCACAGGTGGAGAAATTGCAATCGCTGGGCAGATGCTAAAGCTGTCTGCATTACTGAAACGGCATTGTTTGCACCTGTGCACCTGAATGTGTTCGCTGCACGCTCCTCGTCACTCGTCACCACCTGTGTCACAGCGCGATCGACGTCACCCCCGTCCCTCCGGCAGATTTCAAGGACGGCACAGAGATGTGGCTGAACGCCTACGACACGCCCGACTTCCGGTCGCAGATCGCGCGCCTCTGGGACCAGCTGACCCCGCTGTACGAACAGCTGCACGCCTACGTGCGCGGGCGTCTGCGCAAACACTACGGCGAGGACGTGGTCAGCAAGGACGGCCTGATCCCGGCCCATCTGCTGGGTGAGGAGGCCCGGGCGACGGGCCCTGGACGACAGCAGGCCGGGCCCCTGCCGTTACCCCCCCCCCCCCCCCCACCCTCCCCACCTTCTTTAGGCAGAATCGGGCACCTCCAAGCGTTGCGCTCCGGCGGTCAGCTGGCGTGATGCGAACCGCAGTGCTGTGGTCACCAGCTGACTGCGGAGGGTAGCCGGCTACAAAACTTTACAACGTTCCCTACAGTGATTATGATGGCCTCAGATGGCCTCCTCCACCTCGAGTTAGGGGGCAAAAGGCGGTGAAGGAGGCAAAACCCCGCCACCTCTTGATAACGCCGCACATCACTCGCCTGTTTTGAGCGCAGCAGTCTGAATCAAAATATTTACCGGCACTTGTTGTGATGCTAATGCTAAGCCTCATCAGAGCGCCGGGAGTTAAGAAGCTGGCGGTCGGCCTGTAGCCCGGGCTAAGTCTCGGCCCGCATGACGTGATCCTGGATTTCTTTTACAGGCAACATGTGGTCCCAGTCGTGGTCCAATCTGCTGGATATTTGTAAGCCTTACCCCGAAAAGGCCAGCGTTGACGTGACGCCTCAAATGGTGGAACAGGTAAGCGCAAACTTCACATCACGCTGTCCGACGCCAGCAGCACACGCGGTTGATGACGTTACGTTTCAATATTCGGCAACATTGATCACGGTATATCGTGTAAAATTAGCAGATTTCGCGCAACATATCTTAACGAGCTTTGTTTTGTCATTGACACAAGTGCAGATTATTTTTAACCAATGCTGGTAGAGCAATGACAGGGCACTCGTGTCATGAGCGTGACTCGCGGTCCGCGAGGTGGTGGGTAGCACGACCCCACGAGGTGGTGGGTCCGGCTTCATTACCAAGCGTGCTCGGCAGTCGGTGACAGACGCAATCGCAGAATGCAACACAATTACCAGGGTCTGATGTCGACATGGCTAGTAGTAGCAAAAGGACACAGTCGTAATACCACACAACAGTAGCCTACACAGTGAACGCCGCACAGTTCAACGAGTGAAAAAAACACGCGTAAGCTTCCCACGTGCGTCGAAAATTGAGCGAGCGAATGGCGACGACGGCGGCCTAGCGGCTGCGTTCACGTTTTCCCCTTGCGCGCCGCGCTCAGATGTGGCGCCTTCCTGTCGCAGGGCTACACACCGCTCAAGATGTTCCAAATGTCGGACGAGTTCTTCACGTCGCTGGGTCTTATCCCGATGACGCCCGAGTTCTGGAACAACTCCATCATCGAGAAGCCAGCTGACGGCCGTGAGCTCGTTTGCCACGCCTCCGCCTGGGACTTCTACGACGGCAAGGACGTGAGGTGAGACCCTGCGCCGCCGCTGCTCATCCCACGATGTCACGATCTGAAGGACGTCAGGTGGGACCCTGCGGCACCCCTACTCATCCCACGCGGTCACAATCTGAAGGACGTCAGATGGGACCCTGCGGCGCCGCCGCTCATCCCACGAGGTCACAATCTGAAGGACGTCAGGTGGGACCCTGTGACGCCGCCGCTCATCCCACGAGGTCACAATCTGAAGGACGTCAGGTGGGACCCTGCGGCGCAGCCGCTCATCCCACGAGGTCACAATCTGTAGCCGGTCGCGAGGCTGCTCATCGACCTTCAAGATACTAGGGGGCACTGCTTAAGCAGCGTCATGCGTTATTCAACGACGTTAACGTGAACCGTTTGAGACCCCGAACAAAGTTTGAAGCGTCGGGATTTATCAATATTGCAACTGAAACCTCGATAACATCGTTTAATTAGTACCCACCTGCATAAAGCAGGTCAGCTATTAAGAAAATGAACTTCTAACACACAATGCCAAGAACAGGAGCTCAGGTCCATTTTTGCTAATATCACACCTGTAAAGCTCGTCCTGTTAGTGTTCAGGCAACACCTCAAAGTTATGGAAGTGGTCAGCTAAAGTTCAGAATCCCCACGGTTGACCCAGGGTTCAGGTTGACCGGAGAGACACGGGTATCGCGCTGGCCGGAGCGGCCAGTTCGTCTGCGGATCTTTCAACACGACGACTAAGACGGTTGGTTGGGCTCAAAAATTCCCCTGGGGATTGGCTAGGTAAGCTTTTGCACTCCGCGCGACCAAGGTGATCAGTAGAACTTCAAACTTAGCTTAACATTAAGATATACTAAAACATAAAGATATGCACAGAGCAGTCATTAAGACTGAATCGACGTCGCTGAGTGTCAGGTCGCGCTGGTGCCTGATCGCGCTTTTGGATCAGACCATGTACTGCGTTCTTACTTGCGACCTTTGATTTTGCCAGAATTTAGGCCGCTAACTCAGGCAGAGTAGTTGGCGCCAGTGCTGTATCGTCTGCAAAAGCTTTCACCGTCGCCCTACAAGGGGATCTCCGAGACCCCCTAGGGTTCTATCGCAGTAACTTCATTTTTCGGTATCACGTCTGGTTTTGAACACAGTATCAAAATTTTAAGTAGATGAGCCTGCATTATTTTTCCAGATGTTTTGGGAGTTGGAAAGTGTACGACCTTGATGGTGCATGATCTATGCTTTCCTTTTCAGGTCATGTCCGCAATGTTTTGATAAAAAGTGAAAACTGACGTTTTTTATATAATCTCGGAGTCACTTACCTCGAAGTAAATGCACTCTAACGTTTTCTAAAGCTGTTTTTCTTGACACTATCACTCTAGCGTTTCTCCAGCAATTCTGGCTGCTGTTGCATGATCAGAACATCCACGGCTCGGCCAGGTCAAAGTTTGACATTGTGCCCATTTTAACCCTTTTAAATGTCAAACAATTTCAGCCTTGCCAATATCTTACTTCTTGGAGTGCTTTCGTTACGCTCTTTCACGCACTGATTTGGTTTGTCCGGCTTCTGATATGCCAGCAATGCCAAAGCGCTGTTTTCTTTTTTGTCGTACCATGCTTAGTTTTGAGATAACATGGGTGTACATATTCCTTATTTGAAACCTACCACCTGATTGTACCTGTTCTTAGTCGCTCCTCGGAGGAAGAAGGTGAGAAAACTCCGAAGACGGGCGAGAGTTGGCGTTCCTCCACAACCGATGCTGAAGTCGCCGAACCAAATATTGTGCATGGTGTTTTGCGTGGGCCTTGCGAAATTCAGGACGCCGGTCTCACATCCTCCGTAGAGGTCCGCAAGGCTCTGGGATAGTCCTTGCTATCTTTGTTGTGCGTAGTGCATGTTTTCCAGGATTCATTATCAGTCCATGCATTTGAGCTGAGTAAACCGCAATCCCGTCGTGTTACGTCGTTTCAGGCAAACAACTGGATAACGATGAGCTCTTTCCAGGATAAAGCAGTGCACAGTGGTCACACTGGAAGACTTTATAACCGTCCACCACGAGATGGGTCACATCGAATATTTCCTGCAGTATAGTGGCCAGCCTCAAGTCTTCAAAACGGGAGCCAACCCAGGTGACTGGTGTATGAGTGACCAGATGACACATGTCTCCTGGTACATTTTCAGGATCAAGCAGTGCACCAGCATCGACATGGAAAGTTTTGTAACCATCCACCATGAAATGGGACACGTCGAGTATTACCTCCAGTACAGAGATTTGCCCTTTTTCTTCAGAAGAGGCGCCAACCAAGGTGACGTCCGACAAACCGTTGCTCGGACCTCGAGACCCTCGGTAGTGCCCGGCTCATTGATGGGTATCGGGCTTTATCTGTATTCCTGAGTGCAACAAGATAAACCTCCGTCGTCTTTGGGTGTGAGCTTCGGAACAAAACAAGCACAGCGCCGCGCTGCGTATGACGGCAGCTAGAGCGTTGCGCTTAGTGGACAGCTTGTCCAGCTCGTTTGGCTTTTGCACCCTGCGACAGTGAATGATCAGCATGAACTATTGGTGTGTGTATGTGTGTTCCTTTCCGCTGATAATTGGTACGTGTACTCCTTTCCGCTGATAGTCGGCATGTGTGCTCTTTTCCGCCGATAGTCGGCATGTGTGCTCTTTTCCGCCGATAGTCGGCATGTGTGCTCTTTTCCGCCGATAGTCGGCATGTGTGCTCCTTTCCGCTGATAGTCGGCATGTGTGCTCTTTTCCGCCGATAGTCGGCATGTGTGCTCTTTTCCGCCGATAGTCGGCATGTGTGCTCCTTTCCGCTGATAGTCGGCATGTGTGCTCCTTTCCGCTGATAGTCAGCATGTGTGCTCCCTTCCGCTGATAGTCGGCATGTCGCATGCGGATAATGAGGCATTAATAAGATGTGGTTCATCTCCATCAGCGAATGTTCAAGGCAGGGAGTGCCTAGATCTTGCTGCGTAGTTCGCTGCATCCAGTATCCGGACCTTGGGCCTCACGCGTTATATGTGAAATAATTATTACGCAGGATTTCCTGACTTTTTCACAACTGGTACTGCTATTCTCGTCCTGTGCATTTTTTCACGCAATTATTGGGTTATTTGAAGTGCATGTGTCAAACAGCTTCACAAGTGCAGTGCAGCCTTGGTAGGTACTCATCATCTCTGGGTGAGCTAGATCGCATTACATGTTTACTTGAAAAGCATCCAGGGCTTGTACTGCAACACCATTTTCTCCAGGCCGACATGAATCCATATCTCCACACGGACTTCTATACTTATTTCCGCGGACTAATGATCAATGCAAGGGTTTGCTTTTAGGCTGATCTGAGGTGTCATCGTCTTCCTTTCGGACACTAAGCTGCCCTGTGCTTCCCAATGCGATAGCTGGTGCTGAATGGGCTTGTAAGATACCGTTCAACATGTTTTGGCTTGCTGTGAGTTCCTGAGGAGGCCGCTAACTGGGTGGGCTCACTGTGCACCAGGCTTCCACGAGGCCGTCGGTGACACCCTGGCCCTTTCCGTCGCAACGCCCAAGCATCTCAAAGAGGTCGGACTTCTGGAGGAGGTCGTCAACGATCCAGAGGTAAGAGACGGGTCTTTCGAAGGGCGGAAGGTCAGTGGTCCGATGAGAGATTGTGTGCGGCATTCCGAAAGTCAATAGGATAGCCAACTTTTTTCGCCAGATGCAAGGCTGCGCATGTGGCGTGATCCATCCCGTCGATGCGGAATGGACAAATAGCTGGCGGGCGTTTTGACAGGTGGACATGAATTTTCTGATGTCGGTGGCGCTGGACAAGATCGCCTTCCTGCCGTTCGGCTACCTCATGGACAAGTGGCGCTGGGGCGTGTTCTCGGGCGACATCTCGGAGGACGACCTCAACTGCGGGTGGTGGAAGCTGCGCGAGGAGCTGCAAGGCATCCGGCCGCCCAGCGTGCGCTCCGAGATGGACTTCGACCCGGGAGCCAAGTACCATATCCCGGCGAACGTGCCCTACATCAGGTCAGCCCTGCCGCCAGCGGACGGCAGCGGACGGCTCAAATAAAGCGTGACTTTGATTGAACGAAGGTCTCAGTTCTTGTAACAGTTACAGGTTCGTTCACGTGTCGCTGATATCGCATAACTGTGTGTTAGTTGTGACAACGATGACATTCTTAGTCCTGATGCGCTGAAGGCTTCGCCCGACATAGCTGAGGAATGGCGACGTAGTCGTTCGTGGTGTCCACGGTGTTGCAGTCGAAGTAGCAGTAGTTCTGTAGGGAGAGCACGTAGTTGGAGGCTGCCCGTGACGATCAAGCCGTCGTGTGCTAAGCGACAGTGTGGTAGGTATGTGACGCACGGTGTGTCACGGCAGACCAACTAGTTTTCTAGTCATTGGTAAGCTGTGGATTAGACTTACTGCTGAGACTTACTTGAGTGGGACGATCAGAGACTGTCAAACTTTAAAGCTCCTGATCGTGGACTTATCGTGGATGGATATCGTGAATGTCGTCATTCTGCAGCGGTAAATAAGACAGGAAATGTTTGTTTGCTATATATATATATATATATATATATATATATATATGTGTGTGTGTGCATATATATATATAAGCAGTCAATGCGTGTGTGCTTGCGAATCTTACAGACACATGTCCCGGGGTCTAAAAAAGCTACATAGGGATTGGAAAAGTTCAAAGGGCTCACACAATTTCGGCACCGTTCTTGCATAAATCTCACAAATAGTCCGTTATGAATTGTTTTCACTGGCGGTTTTGATCTTAAAGTCGAGAAAGCTCGTCGTTAACGACCTATGCCCCCCAAAAAGATTGAGTGGTTTTAGTTTAATGGTTAATTCTATGCCGGGAATCTTCACCAGATAGAAATGCGGAGACAGCTTTCAGGCCTGCACTTCTGCAACGCGACGTCTTGGCCAGGTCAACCTGTCCACGCAATTGACGGCAGCAACGTGACCGTTCCATGCCAGTCCGGACACAGCGCACAAGGTCTGGGATTCACAACCAGTGACGTCAACTTACGAGTCCAGGATCTCCACCCGAGGCCGAAACGGCGACCGAGGCTGACGCCGCCCTCCCATTCCAGGTACTTCGTGTCGTTCATCATCCAGTTCCAGTTCCACAAGGCACTGTGCACAGCCGCCAACCAGTACGACCCGAACGACCGGTCCCGGCCGCTGCACCAGTGCGATATCTACCGCAACAGAGAGGCGGGGAAGAAGCTGAGGTAAGCCAGCCGACCCGGCCGCCGGGCACCGACCGGACGCTGGGACGCGATCAGCCGAGCGGCCAGCCGGCCAGCTCCCAAACCCGAATGACCCGAGCGGGGGCTGGTCGTTGCAGCGGGAGTGATGTTCGTGCAGCGTGCCGTGGGAAGTTTTTAACGAGCTGTTAGCCGGGAGAGATCGGCGCTGGGAACATGCAGCTGACGCAAACGGTTAGAGGCACCGAGTGGGCCGTTTCGGTCTTCATAACAGCTGCGGCGATGTGCTGCAGGATAACGGCTTCATTGAATGTGTGTGCAGAAATGCATGGACCCAGTCGCCATGCACAATGCCGTCGAACACGAATAGTTCACGAATCTTCAGCCAACAACAGCCAGCAAAAGAACAGTATGCACCACGCATTCATTCATGGATTCCACTTTCCGTAAGTGAATGCCTCACTGTAGGCCGATGTCGCTAAAACCTGACCTGGTTGTCCACAGTGACATGCTGAAGTTCGGCTTCTCCAAGCCTTGGCCGGACGCGATGGAGGCGATCACAGGTCAGCGCGAGATGGACGCCACGGCGCTGCGAGACTACTTCCAGCCGCTGGAGGACTGGCTCAAGCGCGAAAACCAGGAGAACCAGGAGTTCATCGGATGGAAGAATGGTGGGGCTGGTGGCACCTGTCGAGAAGGCGCGAGGCGACCGAAATTACCCTGTGTTAAATTTGCATACATAAATGAAAAGAGAGACTTGGGCAGGCTGTTGTTTTTTCAACACAGTTCTGTACACAGCGGGTGGCTCAGGAAGCCATTGACAGACTCACCTTGACTCGGTATCTCACTGGTCAGCAGTCAGACCATACGTTCGAGCACATGTAAAGGTTGCCGGAGGGGTGCGTGAATTCTCATGCAAACCATTTTAGGTCGCCGTGAAAGGCCCCAACATCGCCTTCAGCTTTCTCCCCCGACAACTGCGCCGACCGCTTGCAAAGCGTCCCCCCCCCCTCCGAGGCTAACCGCTCGCCTCGTTCCGTTCCAGACGAACCGCTGTGTATGCGACGACCGCCATCTATCGGTGATGACGACGACCACGACCACGAGGGTGGCGGCGACATGCACGATGACGACGACCACGGCAAGGCGGCGGCGGCCGCGGCGGCGCCCCTCTCTGCCCTGCTGGCGCTGACGACCGGTGCCGTGCTGCTCCTCCGCTGAGCGTGCTCATAGTGACGTCACGGGCCCGCTGAGGGACGGGTCCGATCTGTGTGGTTGTGTGGACCTGTGACGACAGTGTAACCGCGCTGCGGTGATGGTCGGACGTGGCGTGACATCTGTTCATGACGTCATTTGCGGCTGCGGTATGGTTACTCTAGGTCATGAACGGTCACTGATGCGCTCGTGGTACGTTCATAGTCCCAGGCGCCGCGGGCAGCTTACAGCGTCCAACTGTGGCTTGTGCGATTTTACAGCAAGGGGGATATTGGTACCTTGCGGCTTGTAAGCGTGTTATGGAATGAAGAAATGGGCGGCGGCGCCGGGGTGACTTAGGTTGGGGATGATATGATTTTTGACGGGTTTGCCAAAAGGACGGTGTGGCGAGACTGACGTTATAGTTTGAAATGGTCGGATTAATTTTTAGAATATTCCGAACAGTGCCACGGTAAGGAATCCCCCTGCCCTGACTTATTGAACTCCGAAAGATGATGACATCTTACTAGATTTTTTGCAGCACCAGCATTGTTATGGAGTGGGAAAGCATATCAAAGAATCAAATACGCAGAGGTTTTGGTTCTGCACATGCCGAGTTTTGAATAATGTGAAAAGCTGCACTTGTGATACCACTATAGAATGAACTTCAAAGCTTGGTCCATGGACCTGACCACCTTGTAGGTGCCTAAAGTAGTTTACTTTTGGGGGATGCCATTGGGCTGTGGCTTTGTTCTATACATTATTCGTGACCGCTTATTTTTTTAGCCAGCTTTTCTGATAGTTATTATGCAGCGGGTGCTGTCCCAATGAGCATAACGGATCACTCAATGTCTTCGTTTTATGATCAACGTTTTGAATTAAGCCGTTATTGTGAGGCAGTCTAAATGCAAATACAACCGGTGTATTTAGATGTGTTCCGATGCTGCAATGGTCATTAACTTATGCGCATCATGAGTCGGCCGCATTCTTGGCTCTGGCACTTCGGCGCAACGGCAGCGGAGAATGAATCCACCTGGTGCACGGGCACGCGGCTACTATGGTGTTGACATTACAAAGCTTAGACGTCATGCGGAATTAAGGTATCGAAGCTCTGTTAGCCGTATACGTATCATGGCTCAATCTAACATTATTCATTAATGCACCTGTGAGGTGCCGCAGATTGTCTTGCACTGCCATTTGAGAGTTACAACATATTGATGCCGATTTCTATTCCGGCAATCCTCAATTGGTTCATGGCTCCTGCAGCCTTTCGTCAAAAGGCAATGCAAAGATAGACAGCGAAGAAACTTAATGAAAGAAAGGCATGGGGCTGTGTCGTCAATTCCAAAGATGCTGGCACCCACAGTAACTCTGTACCACAAAAGTCATCATAAAGCATACCCAGCACAGCTGGGACGAGCATACGACGCAGGCAGACGGCCGATCAGACCGATGTCGCCCTCGGGTGGGGCCTTTACAGAGGCCGTATGAGGCCGCAACCACTCCGGGGCCTTCACAGACGGCCGTCTGGAGGCCCGAACCACTCGGGTGGCCCTTCACAGAGCCTCTGAGGGCGCACACCACTCGGGCCTTCACAGACGGCCGTCTGGAGGCCGCACCACTCGGGGCTTCACAGAGGCCGTCTGAGGCCGCACCACTCGGGGCCTTCACAGTACGCCGTCTTCGGCCGCCCCACTCGGGGCCTTCACAGACGATCCGTCCGATGCAGCACCACTCGGGGGACTCGGGGCCTTCACAGAGGCCCTCCGAGGCCGCACCTCTCGGACGGCAGCGGGTTGTCGGATCTCCGCAGCGGTGGTGGAGTTTGCAGCCAGCTTCTTGAGCTCGCCGATTCGGCGCACCTTGTTCAATAGACACAGTGTGCGGCACTTTGGCCAGGCACACTTTAGGCACAGTGTGCAGCCAGGTTCTCCGCGCTGAGGTATCCCATCAGTCTTTTCTAGAGATCCGACGCACGGTCTTACTGTTGCGGCCGAAAAGGAACTGTTGCTGAATAGCCGTTTTGTTTTTGTTTACTGCGAGACAAGTTTTCTCACGTGCCGTTGATGGTGATTGGGATTTTAGGGAATACCAACTAAGATGACCATTTTGCACACTTCTCGTACCGTTACCATGCACCAGATACAGTAACGGACCTGTGAGGAGACCAGGACATTGACAAGGACGGAGATGACGGTGGGGGTAGATCTTCCTCAGATGCGACAGACCAATCAGAATCCTACAGCAGCCCTCTCCTGCTGTGACAACGTAGAGGCTCCAACTAAGTGAAAGTCGAAGCTGAGCTTAGGCTTTTGGGCTCCGAACCAGAAAATTATCAAGATCGCGGATGCTTGCGTGCATCGTCACGCCCGAGAGCATCAGCTGGATCCGACGGCGTTTAATGTTAGTCCGTTTGCTCGGAACCGCCATCGAGGGCGGCCGAGTTTAGTTTCACGTGGCGACGACGTTATGCATTTCAGATGTCTTGCCACCACTCAAGATTTTAGTGTCGTCGGCGTATTGGGCAACCGTTGCGTTCTCGGGCGGAAAGGATGGAGTAATTGGTGAAGACGCTGGGCAAGAGAGATTCAGAGAGATGATCCTTGAAAGACGCTTAAGTCTTTGGAGCGAGGAGCAGGTCTTTGATAGCATCTAATCTGTCAGTGGAATGCACCCTCTGGGTGTGGCTTCGAAAGTATGCAAAAAAACTGGGACGTGTCGATACCACTAGGAATCAATGTTGACAGAAGCCTTGATTGGTCTGTCACGACGAAATATTCTCTTAATCCAGCAGGCGGGCAGGGAACAAACACCTCCCTATGATTACGTTTGGGAAGGACATGGTCAGATATGGAGCTCAGTGATGTAAGCGCGGCTCCCGTCGGTGACGGGGGCAGAGACCGCACCGACTGGGGACATCATTCAAAACCCGCTGATGAGCGTAGTGATCGACAATTTTTGCGATGACTGGAATGACTGCAGTGGGACGGAAATTGTAGTGATCAAAAGGTTCACCAGATTTGGTGACAGCCCATCCACCTCCCGACATATGGCAAGGCAGCCGCGTTGGGCCTACGTGAACAGCCCACTTACGTCCACACGGTAACTATAGGGTACACATGGTACCACGTGACAATGTCCACGCGGTACCTACTCACATGTGGATGACCGTGGTCTAAACATGCGCACCGTCTAAGCTCGCTCATCTCTAAATCACGTGGTGGTCATATCGGGGTATCAGGTGCGCCCAGACATGTGCCGGGGTTTCAATATTGGCTCCTGCCCCCTACTGGTTCCTTCGACAAAACAAGACCCTGAACTTTGGGCATTGAGCTAGAATCGCTTTTGAACTAGCGTAGGAGTGAAAAAGTCCATTGCAAAAAGACCGCACGGGAGCGAAAAATTCAGTTCACAAAAGCTGGAACTTATGGGTCAGTGAGAGATGCTGCAACAAACAAAGACATACACTCCAAGTTTGCATGAACATAATGTCATGAACATGACAAAACCTTTTATTTTTTAATATCTCAGGTAATTTAAGTGCAACTGAAAACATCAAAGAATAATAAGCTCATAAAACACATCACTACCAAGTCAGACACAACAGACATACCTCTGGCTTCTGTTAAAATATGGCCAGGAAAAAACATGCTTATTTTCATGAAAGCAACCAAGCTACGCCTAACCTTATCTCATCCTGTCTAACATATTTGCATCTTAGCAGCATTTGTGAGCCACTGATTCTCACAAAATCCCCATTGCCACTTGTCATGCAATTAACAAACTTAACCTAACTTGGAGTGGCCCTATATATCGACCACTATCCATCCCACCCACCCACTGGGGTAGGTTGCAGGCAGCCGGGCATGTGCCAGGCGACGGATGCAGGTTCTGTGTTAAGGAGCCAGGTTACAGGAACACATGGCCATCTCGGTTGAGATTGAAAGGACGGCTTTGGTGGTCGGTGGCCAGGCCTGAGCGAGCTAGCGAACGAGCTGGTTGCCAAGCCGTTCGGTTTGTCGCGTCCCCGGCGTGCAGTCTGCGCAGGAAGACGTGAAGGGAGTTTTAGGCTTCCGCCAGAATCGATAAAACGGTTAGAACTTCGGACGCAGCTGGAACCGGTCACAGAGTTGGGCTACAGTATATTGGTTAGATAACAGATCATCGGGTCAGACTGCAGTTAATTGGTCAGGCCGCACATCAGGGGTCACGTTTCTAATCCCGATGCCGGGTTGCGGGTCACCGGGACAGGTTGCAGGCCATAGGGGCAGGTTGAAGGTCACGGAGGTAGGTTGCAGATAGCATCCAGGACACCACGCAACAGTCCAGGTCATGAGGTTCGGAAATCGGTGGAGAACGGTAGGAACTCAAGACACCGCGGTGGGGCAAGGGCAAACCGCACGATAAGTTCCTCGATGGGCGGCAATGTGATCTTCGGACACTACGGCAGCGGGAGGTATCACGCAGTAAGATCGGCAGTTGGAGATAGTTGTTCACAACACCGCAGTTGCAGGGTAGGCCACAGGGTCAGGTTATCAGTGAAGTACAGCTGACAATTCGTGTTTCAATGCCACAGATGCAGGTCACACATAGTCGGCGGTGGAGGGCAGCAGGGATTCTAGAAAAGGTTTTACGGTGATAGCGTAGGCGTCATTCGAGCTAAAACATTAAATTTGAGCGTTCGACAATGAGCCGTGTAGCTTGGGTGGCTGACGTCCTGAGTGCGCTGAACTTGTGAACCTTCCGAGCCGGGAGATGACGTCTTGAGTCACAAAGAAACCTAAAAAAACCACACCGGCAGCCAATAGACAGACTGGAAAACGACGACGAGATCAGAGTAGGATGTCGAAGGCGATACGTGCTTACAGACGTCGACAGGCAGATAAGAGTCGACGCGGGCAGACAAGCGTTGGTGACTCGGACAGACGTCGACGACGCAGGCAGGCAGACGTCGACGACACAGGCAGACAGACGTCGACGACGCAGGCAGATGTACGTCCACGACGCAGACAGACAGACGTCGGCGACGCAGGCAGATGTACGTCCACGACGCAGGCAAGCAGACGTCGACGACGCAGACAGACAGACGTCGACGACGCAGGCAGATGTACGTCGACGACGCAGGCTGACAGACGTCGACGACGCAGGCAGATGTACGTCCACGACGCAGGCAGGCAGACGTCGACGACGCGGGCAGACTGATACGTCGGTGGCCGCGACGGAACTCGATTCAGCGATGCAATCCACAATTAATGTAGCACCAGTAAAAAAAAACGACCTGTCGAGTAACAGCCAACTTAACCCAGCATATTCCAAGCGACACCCTAGAATGTCAGCGCAGGCGCACTAATGGGTTCGGCTCCAACGCGGGAGAATAGCCTTACCGTCACTCGTCGATCTATTCAGCCGCAGCACTCCCCAACAGGCCAGCCAAAAACTGTCACGCGGCCGTCGCTCTCGGCCCCAAGTCATGTTGGGTGCACTTCTCGCAGCGGTCGGGGGTGCACTAAGCACCCGCACATTTCAAAACCCTGTCCATTGACATATGGCCCCACATGGACCATTCGACCGCCGCAGATCGCAGCTGCGAGATCGCACACACTCTCTCCGTACAGTGGCCGGGCTCAGGCCCGCCGTGCGGCAACGTTAATCGCCCGGTCTCAACGGGGCAGGTCAGGGGTCAGACCACTGTCAGCAGACACCTCCAGCTCCATACGTCAGTGATAGCAGGCCTCTGGACAAAGCCAGGGGGTGGAGGGCTGGGGGGGGGGGCGGGGGGGGGGGGTAGTAGAACTGCGGTATTTGTTGCAACTGTTCGGGCAGCGCGGCCAGGCAACTGGTGGAGTGTAGTTAGAGCTCCGGTTGCCATTACGACAAGAGTGGTCATGTCGTCCGGTCACTTGTGGACATCTGGGGCTCCGACATCACA